CTCGAAGATCAGGTTTTTTCGCTTGGACTGTGCTTCCAAATGCTCCATTTTATCCGTTATGGCTATTAGACTCTCACAAGTTTTGTAGACATCATCCCTTGTTTCCTTGGTTTGTATTTTCTGTTCACCCATGGCTGCTTTAATCACATTCACCTCTCGCTGGGTAAACTGCAAACTCGTTTTTATCTCCTGTATTTCTCTGGTCACGTCGTCGAGTCTCTTGTTATTTGTCTCCATAAGTAGTTGCACAAAACCTTTGAAGTTGTCTTGTTGTTGGCTCAACAGTGCGGTGTACATCTGTTTCTGCTGACTCAACATCTCTGTTACTTGCGCCGCTGAAATATAATCCTCTTCTGCTTCAACATCCTCGTTCGATTCTGATTTATTAGCTCTTTTCCCTCTTTGAGGCATTTTAATAGTTGTAGAATTTGTTCAAAGACTTGAAAATGTAGAAGATGTGAAAAATCGTAGAACAGACAAAAGGAATATTTATCTTCCATTCATGATGGAAGATACACCCCCCCCCAAATCCAGTTCAATTTTGTAACTTACATCTACTCTTCTTCTTTCTGAAAAATCTAGAATCTATGAATACACAAAAGTTTAACTACTGGGCAAAAGATGTCTCTTATATCATTGATAAGTCTCAGTTTCATTTGCACCGGAGGCTTCACATTTTCACTTCACATTTATTTTATGTTAAATACTGCAACAGGATTGGCCTCCAAAAGCCATCTATAGAAGGGTATAATAAGATTTAAGGAGGCTGTCAAAGGTGAATGGTGTGACATGCAACAAGCCTTAAAGTCTCAACCTAAAAGAAGATGCTGTGCTATTGTTCCTGCACCTTCATATTGAGCATAAACAAATGTACAGTATGAGCAAAAATACATTCTTATTAAACTCACTGTGACTGGGCACTTCCTTCTTTAGCCATTACATCATCAGGTTCATCATCGTAGTCAAATCGGTCAAGGAGTTTCTGAAGAAATGTAAACAGTACAGAGTAAGCAAATGAGAAACCTAATTTGTATGATGTAAAGCCCCTTTTCCATTGCCTGCACTGGCTCAACTCTGCTTGCTTTTGGTACCAGGTGCTTCTTTTGCCACTGCAAATAGTCCCTGCAGTGTAGCCAGTTGTTACAGCAACAGTGCATGAAACTTCCATAAAGCCACTGGCAAACTTTGGCAGGGCAGGTTCAGAGAGGTCGTAATTTTCATTCTAGGATTGTTATTATGCCATTTTATTAAGTTTTGGTAGTTTTTTCAGGTGAGACAATAAAAACTGAGTTTTTGTGGTCAATCAAAATAATGTCAATTAGAAATTTGCTGTGACATTTTTGGAGATGTGATGACCCACATGCCAAATAGCTAGCTCTACTTAGCAGGCATAGCTGTAGCCATTGTGCTCATATTATCACATTCAGTAACCTATGGGCTACGTGATAAGATGTACAATGTGCGATGTGGTGGTTCACAACAACCGTTATATTATATGGTAACTGGAACTGTTACCATAAATCTGATCCTCTATAACACTCATGAGAGAGACATTGCAGATACTATTATGAATGAAAGAAGAACAAGCAACTGGTGTCATCATTTGAAAACATCCTGGTCCATCAGTGGCCATGGAGTAGTGACAAATTTCTCTGGCCAAATGCTAGTCTGCAGTGTTTACACATCACCGTTGGGCATCACCTCAGCTTACTTGGAACCTCGATGGAGGCAATATCAAAAACAGTACCAGGTACTATCCCCAACATCTGACTGACAGAAAACAAATAAGGCAAGTCGAGTTGAGCTAGTGGAAAAGGGGCTTAAGACCACAGCAGGGTGCGTTGTCACACTGAGCTTTGCCATTACCTCAGCTAAAGAGCTTTTCTTTTCTGTGTGGGCACTATATGGGTTGAGTTGGGCCACAGGGAGCTGGGGTGGATTCTGTACGTGGTTTACAGTGGTGGTTGTCAGGGTGTTATCAGCCTGCTGAAGGTTCTGGAGCATCCTCTGCAACTGGAGGGGTGAGTGAGAGGGGTCATTCAGGATTTAAATAATTCTTCACCTGATATTATCGTGTAACATAAGTGTACCATATGAGTAGAAGTGCTAGAGCATTTAAACCAATTTACTGCTTACCTCCTGAGCATGGGGAGATTGAAACAGCTGTGCCACAGCAGCTAAAGTATCAGGACTGGGCAGCTGGGGCACAGCAGACACAACTGAGGCACTAGTGACAGAAGGCTGCATCTCTGGTTGGGGATCAGCAGGGACTGTTAGATAAAAACCCAAAACACTAAGATTGATATCACTGCATGCAGTTTTTCAAAACAGTGGATAAACTACAACCTCACTTTGCTTTACTCTGAGGTAACACTCAAGTGTATTGTTACAAACACTGCCCCAAGACAATAATACATTTGTCTACCTTCCTTTGCGGTGGGGGGTACAATGGCATCATTGGCCATATCCATCAGAGGCTGAATGATGTCCATGTCAAACACACCGTTCTTCTGCCACAGGTTCAGAACACGGACAATTTTGCTCTGATAAGAGAAAAAAATCCCATTCTTAAGATACTTTCTATCAGTCCTTATTAAGTATATAAAATGCTAAAAGCACAAACAGAGTACCTTATCGTCTTCTGGGCAGTGGAAAAGGTTTTGAAAGGTATCTGTGAAGTTCTTCAAGAATCTGGGCCCAAATACATCCTTATCAACACCAAACTGGTGGCGAGACTGTCGAACAATGGAATCAACAACATACAAACCAGGGACTTTCAATTCTGGTTTGCACTATTGGAAAGAAATAAAATTCAAAGAATTATTCCTTTTGCCCTATGTGTATTTTGAACTCAAATGTTTAAAAGTATGTAATGTATAAGAGGCTCTATAGTACATACTTTCTTGATGAACTTTTCAACAATCTGGACAACATGCTTGTAAAGCTAATAAAAGAAAAAGGAATAATCAGTCACAGCAACACAAGTTGGTAACAGCAGTGAAAAATTGGGACAATAAAATTATTATTACATGATTTCTCTCATTTGTCAAATAAGCAGCACCACATTGCCTGATATCAAATGAAAGATTAACTGACCATGGTAAAATTACATGGTTAGGATAAATAGATTAACAAACAATTTCCAGTTCGTAAAAATTTTCAGACCACACAAACATCAGATAAAGCTGTTATGATCAGTTCATTGATAACCTTTGTAAAATAAAGCCCAAAAAGGGGAAACAGTTTGTCAAGATAGTAAAAGACTTATTCAAAATGACAATTTTTACATCATTTTCTCACTCCCTGTAGGCTGGAATGATGAAAAATCTGCACTATAATATACAATGAAGAATAAATATTTCAAAGCCTCAATGAATAACAGAGACCCATTTAAAAATAAAAATGACAGCATCTCACTCTAAAGGAACTAACTCAAAAAGTCCAGGAGGTCACAACTTCCATAAGCCACACCTTGATATGACAATAAAACAGATACAGTTACGGGCCTACTATTACCTTGATCGCTTTGATGGCTGATTTTGTTACCGACATCATCTTAGCACGGGATATTGGAGGCTTCAAGTCAATCATGGAGAACAACTGATTAAAAAACAAAAAATTTACATCAGTTCATTTTGAAAGTAAAATATTTCTATGCACCACTATGCTAAACTAGTGATGGGTGGACTCAAAACACCTACAGTATATGCTTCAAATCACTGCAGTGGAAGATACAATTGGTGATCTTGAGTCAGCCGATTCATTTGACAGTTACACTAAATGCCCCATGTATCAACTGTGATACAAAAGAAATAGAAATAATCTAAATAATATGGCACCTCTATTCCTATATGCCTGGGCTGTCTGTCTATGAATATATGGCAAATAAAAATCATGAATCTTGAATTTCAAATCATGAATTATATTTTGGATTTTGTTAAAAGGTTTGATAAACATCTCAGTTCCGAAAAATTAGAATGTTCTGGCTATTTTTTGATATGATATGACACCTCTGTTCCAAGCATGCAGAGGACTTAAATGACTGGCCTACAGCAGGGAAAAAAAGAAAACAGTCCTTCATCCACAGTATGGTCCCAATCACAAACCCTCCTATCAGAGAATGTAGGCCTACTTACTACAAACACAGTTTTGTTGAAAATGTATACAAAAAAATAACCCTTCTTATATATGATGCATATCTATAAATGGAATATATACCAGCTTTATTGTTGTCACAATTTATTTACACACAATGATATTGTGAAAGACACACCGATAACACTCCTCCCCAATCAAGGTCCAGTCACAAAATTATTTGCCACCATATACACATATATAAATTAATTTCACAAAATAAAAAAGTATATGAAAAAGATCTATTTTCTGAGTCACTGAACCATCATGTTGGCAGTTTCTATAGTATTTACAGGGATTTGGCCAGCAGATGTCACCAGCATGGGTGATTCAAATGTTTCAAAACAACCAACCATTTTCTGAAGTAATTGGTTTAATTGGCTCAAAGATTTGGAGATTTGGCTCATTCATGCCATCACTACACCACATCTCCATACTGTTAGGTCCCCTTGGTATATGGCAGAAAATTCACTTATATCAAGCCTCCAAATACAATTAAGAAACAAGTGGCTTCCATTTGATAAAAGTACAGTACATGTAGTTGATATACTGTATATACACACATACATAGAGAGATACATATCCACAGCCTACTTGACATACACAGATTGCTCCCATTCTCACAAGACCTGGGTGTTTGCAACCTTTAGTTTACTGGAGATTCATTATGTCTTATCTACAGACAATATAACTTCACATTATCTCTGCTCTTTACTTGGCATGCAACAAGTTAACAATTAACACAATCATATACACATCTATTATCATATTGAACCATCTGTGTCTGAGAAGAGTGGATTTATGTGTATGAGGGTAATTCACTGACTATGTTTACTGATCACCTGTGGCTCACCAATATGCATATACAGATATGCAAGGTAATTTTAAATTTGACCTTTCTCCATCTTTGATGTCAACAATATCAAGCACTTAACTGAATATGCACCAAGCAAACTATATGATTGATCAGTGGTGTTGATATACCACTGACCAGCAGTCTGGTCAAACATGGACTGAACTCATGTTCAATGTCCTGGTTCATACATGGGGTTTGCCTTAGAATAATTGAGAGCTTTGAAAGCAGCACACGGATTAAGATAGCACGTAGTCAAAAGCACCACTCCATAGTTCAAGCATGATGTCCATCAAACACATAGACAAATATTAAATTAAACCACATTTATGCTTAGCTAATTTCCCCACTGTGAGATACATGCTAGTGTGTCAATAACGATAATTTGTTGGCACACAACTTCCTCAAAACAATCATTAGCTAACGTTACGTGATGGCTCAAAAGTAACACTGGCGCTAGGCTTGTATATAAAACATTGAGCATTACTAATAATTACACAGACACATATCGACACATATCGTACTGCTCCTAAAAGTCTGCGCTTACAGTTCATCGTGAAGTTGGTGCTCAGGGTGTAAACCAATTATTTATTATTATTATTTAGCCAGGCACTGAAATTACAGGCCTTACAAGACTAGCGACTCGACTGAAGCTAGTGGTTAACAAATAAAATGAAGATGTTTAATTTTAAATTAAAACAGTTAAGGTTAATAATAATTAAATTATATATGATAGATATACTTACAGATTGCTATCAAACAATTTAGCTAACGTTAACTTGACGTGAAAACAACTGACATTAGTTAGCATTAGTGCTAGCCTATAGGTTTAGCGTTAGCTCTCTGGACCAGAATAAAACACGAGCAAACTTTACCTCCATGTTGAACGCGTTCACTGCCTCCATAATGGCTTTTCATTAAAAACCTGGTGACGGACGTATATCTTCCGGTACTCTACCCACTTAAGATCATGTGCAGCCGTATGTCTAACAGCATAACAACTAGCAACACTGAAATACTGAATTTTGAATGTGGTCACATTTCTAAGCGCTGCTATGCTACGAACTGTCTGCCTAGGCGTCTTATGTCGTCATAATCTTCTCAACCCCGCCAGCCCTCTTCCCTTCTTCTTCTTCTTCTTCTGTAATCCAAGGCAGTGTGGGCGCTACTAAGCCTATTACTGCCCTCTGCAGATATCTAATATGCATTAGTCTCCAGTCTAACATCCGTTCATATCCTTGAGTATAACCCCGATATTTTTAACAGAATTGAATAACAATCAATCAATTGATGGTACTCAGGTTGGGCAAGCAATGTAGCAAGAGAAAAGCAAGAAATCCCTAGATCAGATTGTAGTGGTTACAACAAACAAGCTACAGTTAATATACAATATGTAGTGTGTAGATTACAAGTAGTTACTACATGCTGTGATCAGTTAATAACTCATTTCGGCAAGCCCTCTGTCCTATGTCAGCTAAATGGGTAAATAGTTTGTGTGTGCTGAAGTAAGAACCTTTTGGGTTCATGGCCTGTTTGTTTAACCATTTATTTCCTGCAGGAATGGTGACTCTGTCCCCTATCTCTTAGTCTGTTGAATTGTCTGCCAAACAATTGAACTGCCTTGAATTATTGTAATATTAAATGATCATTGGCATTTTAGTGATTTGTCTGTGAATTAATTTAGCCCACATCAGGTCCGAGCCACTACAAGATAATTTTTTTAAACAGCATGTGATGTCACTCCTGCTGCCTTCAAGATAGTGATGGGAGGTGAGTCCGCCAGATCATTTGGTTCTCATCTCAGCACTAAGACCTGGTGTTCATCCTGCCAGATTGGTCTGATGAACTAATCCTTTCACTGGTTATGACCTATCCTAGCAAAAATATTGTACAGTAGCTATTCAGGTCAGCTACTGTATGTGTGAGAAGCAGCTTATTTTATCAGTTAGGAAGTATCAGAATAGACTGAAGGGAAGGGGAGGCTGTGCTGTGAGGAGATAGGCTAGTCTCGGAGTGAGGACATTGAGCTGCTGACCTCTTGCTTAATGCAAATTCCAAAGCTTATTGCTAAAGACATGGGTTCCTTATTCTGTTTTGTGAATAGCGCATTTTTGACGGACATGATTTGTTTATTTTTCAACCACAAACACATTCGATAATTCCACTACATCCATTTGTCATGGAAACAGAGGCGATGGTGTCGAATCTGCAGACTTCTCCCCTCAGCACCATGATGCTGTATATGTGTCTTCAAGCAAATACTGAAGCTCGAAGATTGCACCTTTAACTTTCCTTTTACACACTGAGAGCCCCCCACCCCGCCCCAGTGTACAAGAATGTGTATTACCATTGCTTTTGAAAACTACAGAGGATCTTCCAAATATAATATAAAACAAAATAATAATAATAAAGTAATATTTTCCTGTACTAAAGTAAATGTCATAAGATGCATCTGATCAGACACACTCATTAAATGGAAACAGACCACTAGAACACATAATTGTCTTTAAATATTTTTAGGTATTTTTGTTGGCCATGCAAGTCTACCAAGTTGTGTTTAATTTTCCATGAACATTTTTCTTGTGACCCAGTTAAATGGCTCTATCATGGCCAAAAACTCCATCAGCTGAATTATCAGCAGAACTGACAGGAAGGAAAACAGCTGGAGCTGAGCAAACATACAAGGGTAATGATAGGAGGGATCATTCTCTAGTCCTGCTGGAACGCATAAGATGAACATTCTATGGATGTTAAAAAGAACTGATTTTATTTTTACATCAGTTTTCTCTATCAACTCTTTGGAATGAGACAGCGTTGCTCTCTCCTAAAATGAGATGATCGCTGTAAGGGAGAACTCTACCACCACTGTTCCATATGAATGGGAATACTATTATGATTATCTTGATCCTGTGATTGTGGATGAAAGCAAGCTAAAATACAATAAATGTAAGTCTTTAGTCTTTACATCTAGGTTTTTTTCAATGTCTTCTCGTGTTACCCAAAAGATAAACTATTTTTCTCTTCCCTTTCAGACTCAGTTGTAATAACATTTTGGATAATTCTGGCTGCTTTTGTTGGATTCCTCTTTCTGACTCTGACTCAAATGTCTCGCAGCGGAAACTTGCCAAGGTAAGTGTGATGCCTAAGTGTGGGTTTTATATACTATATATATTTAAAACCCTTACATACTGTACTATACATACTGTATATGCTAAAATAACATATAAAGTCACAAAGCTCTACTTTAACTAAACATTTCTTATAATTATCATTGCAGGAATCACAGATCCAAAATCAAAGGAAGGTGTATCAGCTGATGATTTCAAAATCAGAATGAAGAAAATGCAGCTGTGGAGATATTGGAGAAATTGGGGTTTGAGATAAGAGGGTTTGTAGCTGTATATCTGAAAGAGTAGTCAATAATTCTGCTATAAATTCATTTCAACTATTATCACAAGCTTTAACTAGCACTGTGTGTTCATGTGAACCCTAGATGCTAGAAGTACAAGAGCTTTATCCAGATGGCAGCTCTTCTGCCAACACTTGTTGGAATCCTACTGCTTGAATTTAGTCCACATCACATTTTGTTCAAAACCCCAAAGTTTTCAAATACAACTGATAACACTTTTACAATTGGGTAAAGCAAGAATCATATGATTAAAAAAACAACTTTTTAATATTTTTAACAACATTTTACAACAGAAGATTTTAGAAAACACCTTCAGCCTTTTACAGGAACAAACAAAGCAGCAAAGTGAAAAAAAACAAGCTCTCATGTAATTAGGTCTAATTCAAAGAACATAGCGAGTGTTCAGATGTCACATTTAACTCTTCATAGTGATGATGTCATTACAGATGGCTCTGATGGCTGTTTGAGTCAGGGATGATTTGGATGCTTTATGTCTTTTATACTTGGTTCTGGTCACCAAACTGACATGAAACAGGAACAGCTCTGCTGACGTGGCTCCACTCCACAGCTCATGGATGTACAACGACATCAGAAACAGCCCCGCTTCTGGAAAGGATAAAACAAGAGGTTTAATAGATTTACACTACAACATATTACAAGTGAGACAACATAAAAAAAATCTTTACATTATCCTCATCATGTATCAAAATATCCACTTGCTTGTGAGGGCAGATTTTCATCATTCCTTCATTGTCTTAATCTAGTCAGTGATGTTTGAATAGCTTTTTACTATAATTAAACTGATTTCTAAAAATGTGATTAAGTCAAGTCGACCAATTGTAGAAGCAACACTTCACAAACATTTGGCATTTGATGGAAACACAATAAAGGTTAAAAAACTAAACAGTGACATTCATTTTAATAGTCCCCACTCATGGGATAGGCTACATATGCCAGATTTATTTCAGTTAATAAGTTTAGTAGTTTATGAAAAACAGCAAAAACCTTTAATGTCATCAACATTTTGCCATGTACTGTATGTATCTCACCAACTTTCCCCCCAAATTTTACCAAAAATATTTGAGCATTTAGGACCCTTAAATCATTTGAAGGTGGAAGTTGAGTTTCTAAATGAGGCCCAGTTTTTAACATCATTGATAGAGTACTCTGCTACGTGGCAGGCTCTTACCGCATCTCGATGGATCATTTGTGGTTTCTGGCAGGCAGGCAGAGATGACCATGTGATGCAGCTCTGCAAGGTGGCCTTTGGTCTCTAGTAAGCGTATCATAATGTTGGTAAATCGCTTTAAGGTTTCCACTCTTGCCGAAATGCTAGAGTGACACTGAGCTTCAAAGGCTTGATGGTAGAGGCGAAGGAGATCTGCCTTCAAGCCTAGATCATGCAACACGACATCTACAATTTCCCTGTGTTTTATCACAGCCTTTTCAACCCAGTGCAAGAATTCTTTTGTTCTGTTTTCATGATACGAGTCCTCCACTAAGAACCTCAGGGACCATTTGATGAGCAGGTGAGCAGTATCACAGGCCAACCGACCAGGATCCAGTTTGTCTTTTGGATGAGCTGACTGGGATTCAGAGAGAGGAAACACAGGTTCCCAATGAACAAAGATACTGCTGAGGTAAATTTTACACTCTGTCAGGAGACTCTCTTCTTGTCTCTCAGAGTCATCATCCTTTGTCAGGTTTTCTTTTGGTGTGCGGGTCTGGGAAAAGGAGCCTTTACCTCGGGCCTTATCCTTCCCCATTCCTGTGGTGGAAGATGAACAAAACTGTTGTTATCCCATTAAAGATACAAGGAATGATTTATGTAATCTAAAACAGAACAGAGCTCTAAACTCTCCAATGATTATAATGGGACAAACTATGACAAGTAATACCATCACATATGTTTTCAGCCTAATTTCTACTCATTTCCTCACAGAGGAGAGAACATACTATAGGATCAGCAAAATAAGCAGCAACCCTGGAGCAGTGCTGTTGCAGAGTACAAACTTTATGACACAGGCTTAGTGTAGCTGTACGGCCAGGTGGGAATTAATATCACCTTTATTGTTCATTATCTCCCTTTTCCATCGCGTTTACAATATTATTGTCCATACCTTTGAAACAAAAGCAACCATGGCAGTGTCTGTACAAGCTTCTTGGTGTGAGAGAATTTGCTGAAGGATACACTTAATGGCACTCACCCAGGAATTCCTTCACTGTGTGCCTTTCCGACAAGGCTTGTATATGGGTAAGGAGCGCTGTGTTGTGGGACAGGGACGCCCAGCAGAGGAGCAGATTGAGCACTTCAGTACAGGAGAGTGGCTGTGGATATAGTGTGATCTGATCCGCCTGTTTCTTTACATTGAGAGCTGTCCCACGATGCTTCAGTACAGAGCAGAGCGTATGCAGAAACAGGCTGAGATGAGTGGCCTTCACACCCAACCTGACAGGAGGAGGTCAAACAAACATGGACATCCTTGACCAAAAGTTAATTTATTATGTGTAGTGTTGGCTCACATCTCAACTTCTGTCAGCTGTACAACTTTTGATTACAATTTTGGAATGAGTGTCTGAAGAGAGACTTGAAAGTTAAATTAACATGTTCACTGATTGCCTACCACTGCTGACGGTTAAAGTGCTTTACCTGAGGTGTCTGCTGAGAGTTGATGCTACACACAAGTATTCACTGATGAGAGGGAGAGAGAGACAGTTGACTGAGCTCTGAGGTTTCTCTGAAGTCTTGGCTCCATCTGCCTGCTGATTTTCCTTCTGCCCAAGGATGGTAAACCACAGCACATGGAGCAGTTCTATGATGGCACTTAGCAGCTGCTGGTCTAGACTCCTGCTGATGATTGTAAGTACAGGCTTATGTACAAAATATAAAACTGAAGAAGAGAATTTTTTAGTAATATGAATGATCTGTCAAAATAAAGAGCCAAAATTTTGACTGGACCTTACCTTTTCTCAACCACCTGTATTATCCAGGTTAGGACGCCACAGCACTTGGTGAGGTTATAAGCTGCTCTGGCCACACGAGCAGCGTGGCACAACACCCTGATGATCTGTGTCTAGTGGAGAGGTACATGTGTAATAGATGCACATTAGACATAAATATGCATTTTCCTTATTAGGTGCATTTCAGAACATCAGCCCACTTGTCCTCACTAATCCGTTAGGTTTCATGCTTGATTTCAGGCTGTTAATTAATTTTTCCTCTTTTAATTTATTCCTTGCTTCAAAGAGTTTAGGACTGACATTGCAAATCCTGCAGTGTGTACCTGGGAGTGTTCATCACAGAGGGGACTACTGCTGAAGCCTAAAAGGCCCTGAAAGATGCCTTGTTGGTTGCACAGTTCATATGAATGTCCATCACTTATCCCTTCCTCCAGCACATTCAGGATCCACTCACGTTCCACCTTGTGCTACAGAAAAGAAACTGTCAGTCAGTCACACTCCCGTTGCTGACCACTCTTCATAGACACATATAACACCAGTCTAAAAATGCCTGGGTTGAGCAAAGCAAACAGCTGAAGGTTGAATGTTGTTGATGCAAGGAGAGATTATCTGGACAGTCATTTATTTGTCCAGGGTACAGTT